TAGACTGAGCAGTTTACAAGATGGGTCTAAGACCTTTGGACCTGGGTGGTCTCCATCTAGGACACACTCAGGCAATCCCCTAAGAGAGAGTGCCGCTCTTAGAGGCTGACTGGAGAGAGGTGGAAGTAGTCCACTCTCGAATGCACTCTGCCTGAGGTCCCGACTATTCACCTCCTGGTCAGTGTGGCTGTTAGGTGCCTTCAGACTCATGGAGACCTTCCCTACAACAAGAAACACTGCCCTGTCCTATGCCATCTTCACACTTGTGTGAGCCCATCGATGCAGCCAGTGTATCCTCCTCGTCAAAGGTCTTCCTTGTTTTTGCTGCTACTCTACCAAGCCAGGGACTGGTCTTTCCTGACAGTAGGTCCAAAGTACGGGAAAGGACGTCTCACCATCCTCGCCTCTAAGGAGCATTCTGGCTGTACTTCTTCAAGGCAAATGTGTTTGTTGTTCTGACAGTCCACGGTACTTTCAATATTCTTTGCCAGCACCACAATTCAAATGCATGGAGACTCTTCTTTAGTCTTTGTTATTCATTTTCCAAGTTTCATCTGCATATTAGCCAGTTGGAAATAATATGATGGGTCCCACACACCAAAATCCTCAGAATAGCATCGTTGTTTTCCAATGCTGAGGTCTTGTGCAGCAGATTTACCCAATGCAATAACGTTTTTTGGTCTGCTGCTTTCATGAGCATTGATTGCGGATCCAGTTGTGCTTTATTATAAATCCAGAAACTTTCAAATAGTTTCATGTATAATATTGTAATTTTTCCCTTAAAAAGCTATTTAGCTTAACGCTAAATAGGAAAAACCAAATTTTATTTAGCATATGTGCTCTTTTCTTCCCCCCTTAATCATTAAGAGCTCTTAAAACAGCTCTTATCACAATCCATACATACTACTTCCATTGTGTCAAGGATATTTGTACATGTTTCCATCATCAGTTTCAAAACATTTTCTTTCTACTTGAGCTCCTCATGCTGATGCTTTTATTTCTGGGGTTTCTGTTCTTTTCCATTGGTCTGAGTATCTGTCATTATTCCAGCACCACACTGTTTTCACCGCTGTGGCTGTATAATAGGTGTTAAAGTCAGGTAAGGTGAGCTCTCCAATTTTTTCCTCCTTAAGGAGTTCTCTGCTAATTCTGGGCTGCTTCCCTCTCTATATGTTATTAATGATATTGCTCTTTAAGCTGAGCTTTCTGGTGGGTCACCTGCCTTAGGAATGAATACAAATATGGATCTCTTTTAGTCAACTGGCCAAGTAGCTGTCCTCCAAATTTGCTGGCATAGATGAATGAGTGCTTCTAGTGCTTGTTGAAATATTTCTATTGGCATTCCATTAATTCCTGGAGCTTTCTTTTTGGCCAATGCCTTCAGTGCAGCTTGAACTTCAGTGGCATTGGTTCATATGCTGCCTCTTGAAACAGTTGATTGTCGACTAGTTCTTTTTGGTACAATGACTCTGGGAATTCTTTCCATCTTTGGATGCTTCTTGCATTGTTCAACATTTGCCCATAGAATCTTTCAGTATTACAACTTGAGACTTGAATTTTTTCTTGTTCTTTAAGTTTAAGTTATGCTGTGTTCTCTTGCGTTTTGGTTTTCTAACTCTAGGTTTTTGCACATTTGTTTTTAAAGATCCTTTTGTTGGAGGGGGCTCGTACAGCTCTTAAAACAATCCATATATCAAGAAGCACCCCAGCCTGTGTGATTATGAGGTGCCAAAGGGATCAGTTATCAGGCATCAAAGAACAAAAAAATCATATCATTGTGTGCTACCTCCTAGATACAATCACTGAAGACAAATGGGTGCATAAGCAAATGTGGTGAAGAAAGCTGATGGTGCCTGGCTATCAAAAGATATAGTGTCTGGGGTCTTAAAGACTTGAAGGTAAACAAGCGGCCATCTAGCTCAGAAGCAACATAGCCCACATGGAAGAAGCACACCAGCCTGTGTGATCACGAGGTGTTGGAAGGGACGAGGTATCAGGTATCAAAGAACAAAAAAATCATCATTGTGGATGAGGGGGGTGCGGAGTGGGGACCCAAAGCCCATCTGTAGGCAATTGGATATCTCCTTACAGAAGGGTCTCGGGGAAGAGACAAGCCAGTCAGGGTGCAGTGTAGCAACGACGAAACATACAACTTTCTTCTAGTTCCTAAATGCTTCCTACCACCATCCCCACAACCTCCCGCCACTATCATGATCCGAATTCTACCTTACAAATCTGGCTAGACCAGAGGATATACACTGGTACAGCTAGGAACTGGAAACACAGGGAATCCAGGGCGGATGATCCCTTCAGGACCAATGGTGAAAGCGGTGATACCGAGAGAGTGGAAGGAAGGTGGGGTAGAGAGGGGGAACCAATTATAAGGATCTACATATAACCTCCTCCCTGGGGGACGGACAACAGAAAAGTGGGTGAAGGGAGATGTCGGACAGTGTAAGATATGACAAAATAATAATTTATAAATTATCAAGGGTTCATGAGGAGGGGGGGAGCAGGGAGGGAGGGGGAAAATGAGCTGATGCCAGTGGCTTATGTGGAGAGCAAATGTTTTGAAAACGATGAGGGTAAGGACTACAAATGTGCTTTATACAGTTGATGTATGTATGGATTGTGATAAGGGTTGTATTAGCCCCCAATAAAGTGATTAAAAACAAAAAACAATCCATATATAAATTGTAACAAACATATTTGTACATATGTTGCCATCATCATTTTCTAAACATTTACTTTCTTTTTGAGCCCTTGGCATCAGCCCCCCACCCTGTGACCCCTTGATTATAAATTATTATTTTCATATCTTACACTGACTGCTGTCTCCCTTCACTGCTTCTGTTGTTCCTCCTCCTGGGGGTGGGGGTTATGTGTTCATCATTGCAATTGGTCCCCCTTCTTCACTCCACCTTCCCCCTATCCTCCTGGTATCATCATGAGCTCCCATCTGCACCAATGGACATGCTCCGGTCCAGCCAGAACTGAAAGGTAGGACTGGGGTTGTGATAGTGGGGGGTGAGGAAGCCTCAAAGAACCAGAGGAATTATAATAATAATAAAGCACCAGAGGAATATTGTGTGTTGCATCAGTGCTATACTGTGCCCTGATTGGCTCATCCCTTCCTTATGACCCTTCTGTGCCCCTGGGTGGACAATCGCAGGGGCACAGAAGAATCCAAACAGAAAGATGTGTGGGAACCTTCCTGTCTAAAATATTTATAGACATCCCAAAGACATAAATACCCGAGAACATTCTTTTTTCTCTCTAGCTGTTCTGTGCTCTCGTCCGGCTGGCTCTCTGAAATACGCGAGGCGCACGCTCTCTCTCTATCCCCACTGCTCGCACCCTGCAATAAAAACAGCAGGCAGTGGCTGCATCCCTGAGAGGCCAGGTTAACTCTTGCACCAAACTTTTTATTAGCTTGCTAGTGAGTCTGTATTAAAACCTGTTTCTCCATATAACTTTCCTCTAGTTCTTAAATGCTTCCTCCCTCCACTATCATGATCCCAGTTCTACCTTAAAAATCCGGCTAGACCAGAGGATGTACACTGGTACAGATAGGAACTGGAAACACAGGGAATCCAGGACAGATGATCCCTTCAGGACCAGTGGTGTGAGTGGTGATACCTGGAGGGTGGAGGGAGAATGGGGTAGAAAGAGAGAACGGATTACAAGGATCTACATATAACCTCCTCCCTGGGGGATGGACAACAGAAAAGTGGGTGAAGGGAGACGTTGGACAGTGTAAGATATGACAAAATAATAATAATTTATGAATTATGAAGCATTCATGAGAGAAGGGGGAGTGGGGAGGGAGGGGGAAAATGAGGAGCTGATATTAAGGGCTCAAGTAGAAGGCAAATGTTTTGAGAATGATGATGGCAACAAATGTACAAATGTGCTTGACACAATGTATGTATGTATGGATTGTGATAAGAGTTGTACAAGTGCCCAATAAAATGATTTAAACAAACAAACAAACAAACCTGTTTCTCTCCTGCAACTAAGGTTCGTTTGGCCTCTATACTTCATAAGCTAGGATTCTCCTTTCACCCGACTCCAACCTCCCTCAACCACTACAATCCCTCTTATTTGACTCCCTTTGATCTCTGTGACTCCTATTATCGTTAAATAAAAACTATTAAATAATACCCATGCTTTGTCTTTCGCATCTTGCCCCTTGTCTCTCAAGCCTTACAGGCAGCCTAGCCCACAGCTATCAAAGACATCGATTCAAACACATTCTCTTGGTTAAAGCAAGTCACAAGGACAGTGGAACTCCCAAAGGTTCAGTTCCTTAGTCACCTTTTCAATTTCGAAACTGAACTCAGTCCGTGATATAATAATCAACTATGTAACATACAAAAGGCAACATTTATGCAAGGACAAAGTTCAGAGGTCAGGAAAGAAAAAAAAAAGCATGGAAACAGAAAACGGAGGGAGTATGATAAGTGATGGTCCTTTGAGGTGATAAATGAGTTGAAACAAAATGTGTTTGAATTCTTTAAAACTGATGATCTACTCTGTACACCTCCACCCAATTCACAAGTTTTTTGTTGGTTTGTTTTTGCTGCAAAAGGAAGCCTTATTGTTTCCACTTGGTCCCCCGCTTGGGGGAGGGGCTCCAGGGCGGTGCCGCTGCAGGTTCAGGTAGTCGGGCCTGCCCGGCAGGGGAAGGCAAAGGGCCCCTAGCAGGTGGGTGGGCTCCGCAGGCTCCCAGTCCTTTGAAGGTGAGCCTCTCAGAGATACTCGCCCAGCGCGCCTGGGGGCTGGCCTGCGGAGGTGGGTCATATTCTTGAGGAGTTTCACCTCCTTGTCCAGGAAGTGGTTCTCCAGAAAGTCACAGAGATGGGGGTCAGCGTGAGTGGACCCCACGGCGTGCAGGACAGGAGGGGCCTGGTTGAGGGTCTTCTCCAGGGCCAGGGCAACTTCCGTGGCGTCCAGATTCTACCCGGCTCATCTTGGGGCGGCCCTGCACATCCTGGAAGATGGCGCGCCCGCCGCCGCGCTGGTTCTGCAGCTTCCAGAGACGTTCGGCCCCTCGCGCTGCTCCTTCGCCAGCTCGTGGGAAGAAGTGGCCCCCGCCCTCCAAGGCCACACCGTCGCGGTCGAAAAAGCAGCCGAGAGAGGCAGGTGTCAGAGGCCCGCAGACACAGGTTGACCAGACGGTGGATGCTGGCCTCGGCGTCGGCGGAGTCATTCTGACAGATCTGAGAGCTCACGATTGGTCGGGTTGGAGGTCGCCACACACCAAATAAAAGTGTTCCCTGGTTCCCATAAGAGGGGCTGGCCCAGAAGGTCCCGAAGTTACTTCTGGAAAGGAAACTGGAGCGTGGCGGAAGGTTGGAGGAAGGGAGTCACCAGATCTGTTCCGTTCAAACACCGTTGAAGCAAGACACAGATCCACGGGACCACCAATTCACAAGTGTTTTAGAAGTCACAGGTCAACCCTGATTACAGGGGTGGGGAAATAGGCTTCACCTCCCGGTGAGAGGAGCAGCAAGATCACTTTGCCAGAGCACAGTTAAGGAAGGAGGTAAAAGTACTGGGATCATTTAAGCAATCAGTCTGGAGGCTCACGGTAAGCTCACCCTAAGCTCAAATGGTGGGAGGCTCAGAAAGAGGTTCATGAATGTTTGTGAAAGTAAGATTTACTGGGGCGAAACACTAAGGGTGTTCAACAAAACAGCAAGGGGAGCAAAGCAATGAAGTCCCTGGGGAATACCAAAATAGACTGTGGGGCCAGGGTGTGGCACCCCATCAGACTCAACCGGAAAACACTCCTAAAGATCAACAAACAGACCATGAACTATTTCAAGGTCTTGTCTTTTTTTGTTGTTGTTGTTTGTTTTTGTTTTGTTTTGCTCTGCCTTGATTTTGTGCTTATTGTGTTTGCATGTCTATCCAGATGAGATATGCGGGATAAACAATCCAGAGGAGAAAACAAAAGGGACATGGGAAGAAGGCATGGAAGAAGGGGAGGCAAGGAAGTGGGTGTTAACAAGCCCAGGGACAAGGGAACAACAAGTGATCTAAAATCAATTATGAGGAGGGTGTAGAATGGCTGGTAGGGCTTGATCAAGGAAAATGTAACCGAGAGGAATTACCAAAACCCGAATGAAGGCAGAACATGATAGTGGGACAAGAGGAAAGTAAGAGGAAATAGAGGAAAGAACTAGGAGGCAAAGGACATTTATAGAGATCTAAACACAGACATGTACATATATAAATATACTTATATATAATGATAGGGAAAGAGATCTATGTACATATATTTATAGGTTTAGTACTGAGGTAGCAGATAAACATTGGGCCACTCCCTTAATGCAAGAACACTTTATTCTAATAACCTGGCATCCTGTGATGTTCGCCTTCCCAACAGGATTGCTGAAGACAAAATGGGTGTATAAGCAAATGTGGTGAAAAAAGCTGATGGTGCCTGGGGTCTTAAAGACTTAAAGATAAACAAGCGGCCATCTAGCTCAGAAGCAACAAAGCCCACATGGGAGAAGCACACCAGCCTGTGTGATCCTGAGGTGTCCATAGGATCAGGTATCAGGCATCAAAAACAGAACAAAAAATATCAATGTGAATGAGGGGGGAGTAGTGGAGTGGAGACCCAAAGTCCATCTGTACAATTGGACATCCCCTTACAGAAGAGATACAAGGAAGAGATGAGCCAGTCAGGGTGCATTATAGCATCATTGAAACATACAACTTAAAAAAAAAAAAAAAGAAACATACAACTTTCCTCTAGTTCTTTAATGCTTCCTCCTCCCAACTATCATGACCTCAATTCTACCTTACAAATCCGGCTAGACCAGATACAAATAAGAGCTTATCTGTACACGGGTACAGATAAGAGCTGGAAGCACAGGGAACCCAGCACAGATAAACCCCTCAGGACCAATATTGAGAGTAGTGATACCAAGAGGGTAAGGGTAAGGTGTGGGGAGGAAGGGGGAACTGATCACAAGGATCTATATATAGCCCCCTCCCAGGGGGATAGACAATAGAAAAGTGGGGGAAGGGAGACATCGGCCGGTGTAAGACATGTAAAAATAATTTATAAATGTCAAGGGTTCATGAGGGAGGGAGGGGAAAAACTGAGGAGCTGATACCAAGGGTTCAAGTAGAAAGAAAATGTTTTGAAAGTGATGATGGCAACAAATATACAAACGTGCTTGACACAATGGGTGATGTATGGATTGTGAGTTGTACGATCCCCCAATAAAATGATTTTAAAAAGTAAAATTTAAAGTGCCCCATAGTTGGTAGCACTACTTAGAGTGCTGGCTTACTGGGTTATTATTCCTTTTAGCCTCCCTTTCTGGAGTCAGCCAGGAAAGGCGGAGCTGTGCCGCAGAAGGGTGATTTGCCTCAAGGCACATCCTCTGCTCCCATTCACTGAACAAAGAAGGACTACAAGCCCTCAGGCACCTGGGAGCTCCTTTCTGGAAATGGAAACTTCAGCAGGTACTTCTGTTCCTGTAGCCCTGCTCCCACGCACCTCACTTTCCACCTGTCTGGCTGAGGTCCATAGGCTGTTAGATCTCCGCTGGATAAAGTGTAGTTCTGAGGTGCCTCAGGTGGATTTAAATCTCCAAGCAACTGAGGTCACTAAACCCAGAGACTCCTACTCAAGGCTTCACAAATAAATATCAATTAGGATTTGAACTCAAGCAGTCTGGTTCCTAAATGTTTAGTGACCAGACGTCCTGGTCATGCACCCTTGATAACTTATTAATTGTTATTTTGTCATATCTTGCCTTGTCCGATGTCTCCCTTCACCCACTTTTCTGTTGTCCATCCCCCAGGGAAGAGGTCACATATAGTTCCTTGTAATTGGTTCCCTCTTTCCTACCCACTTTCCCTCTACCCTCCCTGTATCGCCACTCAC